AAAAACAGGGAAAACCGCGATACAAAGACTAGTTATTCATACACGCAGAAACATGTACAATAACATATCCATGTGTGTGTATGTGACCGCATGCTGTATTGCTGTCTGAACTGACTGAAAATGAAATAGTCTTGATTTGAAGAAGTCGGATGGATGTCAAAGGTAAATGGCAAAATGCTGCTAGTGAGGCCACCTTTAAAATAGCTATACTAACTAGACGAAAACGCGATGATAACTTTCGCATAGCATCTGGAAAGATTTAACATCTCAATGTAAATAAAAGATTATATTTTCAATACGTTTTGATAGTAAGCAATCGCTTTGCAAAGTTCTAGATTGGGTCGTACTGAACGACAGTGACACGAACAGCGGGACCCATATGGTAGGCTCCGAAGTTAAAATGGAAAGAGATATGATGAAGAGAGGAAAGAGAAAAGCTCAATTTTAAAGGAGCAGTATAAAAGTTATCAATATATATTACGGGACCGGAAACTCTAGCCAGGTTCAATAAAACTATTGTACGCTTTTTGTATTTGTACCCGTGCACAAGGTGCGAATGAATCGAAGAATAAACAGATCAGCCACTGAGTAGATCGCGAGGTCAATGGGACAAAAGCAGATGACTCCATGAGTTGATAGGGGCAATGTGCGAACGTTCAGACACACTTAAATGCAAATAGCTCCTAACTGGAATAGCTAAATATTTACTCATTTATTTATATATTTATATACAAAGCATCCTCATTTTCGGCATAAAAATAAAATTGATAAAAGCATTGAATGAGCGGAAAGACAAGCAACAGAGCTTATCTACCACAGGACAGACGAATAGATAATATATGGATAGAATAGACATATAAAGATAAATAAATGAATGAAAAGTAGGATAAACAAAATGGGAAAATATGTAAGGAAATGAAGGTTATATCTAGAGAGGAAGGTAGATAGATAAAATAGAAAAATAAACAAGGAGAGTATAGAGGGTAGGAGTAGTTGGTTGGCTAGTTTTCACCTAAGAATAAAGAGGAAAACCTAGTGGACGCGGAGAGGCACGCCAACAAGCAAAGGTACCAACAAATAAGTATAGTATAATGAAACTATTATGATCTAACTAGAAAATGAATATGAAATAAATTGCCGAAGTACATAAATGAAATTATAAGCGATGGGCAAAGAAGATGATATTGCTCCTAAACCTGCTGAAATCAGGACTGGTGGTAACTAAAATGAGATAGCAACAACAGAGGAAAGAGGTGCATGAGTTCAAAAAGAATTATTATGAGTTTTGCGATGATAGCATTGACTCTAGATGAACAAGCTTGTTTTACTTTCTGACAAGGATTCGAGCAGACTAGGCTTTAGTGAAGATAGACACATAAGCTCTAGGCCGGCGCATAACGACAGTAACTTCTCTAAGGAATATGTGCAGTATAAAATCAACTCTGGAAAGCGGTTCCAGATATACTGATGATAACCATCCCACCCTGGCGTAGAGATTGGAAGTTATGATGGGCAAAAGAGTAAATTGGTTTAATTGTGAATTAAGTATGCGCGTCATGCATAAACTTCACCCAAATAGATAAGGAGAGACCAAAAGCCAGTATTTGTCTGGATCCAGCATCGAAGTGATTGCTGTGAGGTGAAGAAACCAATTATGATATGGCCTGGTCGTAGATATGAGGTCTTTATGCAAGATGGCCAGCAAGTAGACATTGGTAAAAAAGATCGGATTAAAGAGGCAAGCGGAAGACGTCCACATTATGACGACAATTTAGAGTGCGCCAAGATAAAAGATTTTGACAGGGAATAAGGCTAAAAGTGGAACTAATAAAATCATCCTCCCTGATAGGTTGTCTCGTGAATGCGATGGGTCAGTCAAAACTAGCATATACCGCTAAAAGTGTAGGCGAGGTGACGCTGTCTAGAAAAAGAAAAGAGGAAACATCAAGGATGTCAAAAACGACATTTGTTTAGGTAAGTTCACGCTCAAATGAAAAGGGAAACAAGAGAGAAGAGGAATAGGAGTAGATGAACGAAAAGAGAAGAAACGTAGATATAAATGCAAAATCCATTTGTTGAAAGGACAGGGTAATTTAGAAACCGAATCGTGACTCATAAAGCAAGTCAGTATCATGAGACCGGCAAGAACAAGCTGGCAAGTTAGTAGATGTGCGAATAAAGCCTAGAAGCATAATTGGCTTATTAGATGAATTGAAGAAGGGTAGACTTAACAATCATGAGGCAGAATATAACAGTATCAGTGAATTGGTAACCAATCGAATAAGACTAAAGGGAACCAACAGGAAGAGCCCGATAAAGAAGTCAAGAAAGTATAAAGTTCCATCAAAGGTAAACTTGAGGCACCCGTATAAATGTAAAGGGGCCTTTAAACATTAAGCCAGAAGAAAATTGCTGTCAAAGCAAAAGTAGGCGGTGGAAAATTTTGGGTAGAGCTAGAGAAAACAGAATGCCGAGTCAGTAAAAACGAAGTGTGTATACGCATAATATATATATATATATATATATTCTGCATATTTGAGTCTAGAAATAAAATCCTAAAGTTAGGTGTGTCCTGCCTCCAATCCACTAGCGTGTGAGTGTGCATCCATGTCATCATGGTCTTCTAACTTGCCTGTCTCGTGATCCTCAGGGACAAGTTCATCAAGCGCCTCCAGGAGACGAAGTGAATCGGTGAACGAGAGACCAAGTTCGGTACGCAGGGAATGCGCGAAAAACTCTGGTGCCCATAGTCGCAGGCCAGCAAGTTGAGATAGAAGGATGCCATCAATGCCTCCAGACGTTTGGGATGTAATCTGAGAAAGACCCCTGAACTTAAACCAAGCGGCGGTCTTTGAGGTGGACCAAGCGCGAACTTCAGGTCGTACAGCCCGGCGCCAAGCAGCCACTGCAAGACAACGCTGACTTATCGGTAGACTTAGCATGGCCGGCAGGTTGTAGGCAGCCGCAGCAGCTTTAAGATCCATGGCCGGTATGGGAGGCAAACTGTGGTCGCGGGCTAAACTTGCGGGCCCACTGCCAGTACCTGCAATCGCGGCCCCAGCTGCGCCGATTGAGAGACCAGCAAGATTACCACAAATGTGACTTAGTCTAGCATCTGGAACCCCAGTGTGGTTGACTTGGCCTGTGTGTGCCTCTAAATGGCCATCGATTGTGTCGCCGCCAATCCCGGCCACCCGGATCCCGGGCTGAGCAACAGAAGAAGTGGTTGAGGCAACCACAGCAGACGCTTGCGCGGCAACTGCCGATGCGATAGTTTCCAGTGGCCCAAGATGGCGTTGGGCATCAGCGCATATTTCGGCCAATTGACTAAGTAATGCCTCGTAGCTGGGCTCTGGATCACGTCGACCGCTTAGGTCAATCATTGGACGACCGGGAAGTGCAGTAGCCAGCCAACCTGTGGGCCGATACTTAGCCTGAAGCACGACTGGGATCACTGTTCGCGATTGACGATCCCCCGTGAGACCAGCCGAGGTCACTAGATCGAGTTCGAATCGGCAACCAGGACTAAGACGATAAGCCTCTCCGACACAGACAACAACGACTCCAGCACGACGAACAAGGTCGAGGTAAGCCGTCTGGCTAGACGAGTTCGCAGACAACGCACTAAGACCAAAGGCTGCAGCATCGGCAGCACTAATTGGCACTGCAAATGAACTGGCATGCCTTGGCATATAAACGGGGAGGTTGGCTGCAAGTAGACGGTCATAAATCTTAAGGGCAGCCGTCTCGTGGGCGGAAGCATAGCTGACAAGGATATAGCCCGATTCAGTGGGCTTCTTTACCTCAGGATGCCGAGTCGTTTGACCAGCTGCAGTCGTTAATCGGTGAGCAATCAGTTGGAGAGCACGTATCATACCAACGCGCTGGTTGGCTACTGCTGTCTCCTCGAGACTTTCAAGCAACTCTGCAGGCCATCCAGGACCCAGCTGGCCTAACAAGCCGTTAGAGTTAAGCCCAGGATCGAGCACCAAACTCCAGACGACACGAATCGCCTCCTCAGCCTCACGAGCTGTCAAAACCGGACTTGCAGAAATAGCGTTCGTGCGTCCGCTTTGCCCACCCGTAGCAATCTGGGTGCTCACGTATACCTCGATGATTTCCTTGAGTACACTAATATAGTTGGTATTTGGGATTTCACGTATACCCGGAAAGCCAACCTTGCTGATGGTAGCAATTAACAGGCTGGTTTTGATGCTATCATTGGTGGAAAGTGAAGCCAGAGCGGCCAAAAGCTCGGCCACTTGAAAACCATGACAACGACGCTTGTCGGATATTCGAGCAGTGATTATGTAGCCCAGTAATAAGTGCAGACTGTCCAGAGTACCGGTGCTTACTAGTGGATGAGAAGGAATTACAGTCAAAAGACTTGTCTCAGTCTCACCAACAATGTAGGCTAGACAGAGGATGGAGACACAGCGCAAGAAATCCTCCTCCCTCTGAGAGAGATGAAGTAAAGCCTGTTTGACTGAATCAGCAGCAAAATGGTGTGTATTGCCAGGAACACGGGCTATATTGTGAATTATGGAAAGGCTGGCCTTAATGAGATAATAGACATTTTTGCTAGACAGGTTCTCCAGATAAGGCTGATGCCCAATGTTAAGATTGAGCAAATTTGGCAGACCTGCGACAGCCAATGCAGTCGCCAATTCGGGCCAGGTATCAGAGAAATTCCAAGTTGTGTTATAGAAATAAAAAGAAGAGAACCAGATATCATCGTTCTTAAAAACGCCCATGTTATTGAGCTTTTTCATCATTTTTGATGCAAAAGCAGGATAATCAAGTGCAGTCAGATGCTGTGCCAATTCAGCCCGATACTGGTGGCAATCAAAGTAAGCTCGGCTAAGTTGCTTTCCTGTCTCATACATCATACGCAAATCAGACATATCCTCAAGGCTGTGGAAAGTAGCCATTACATCATCGACAAAGGCGCGCGCCTCGACCAATGTGAAACCTTTACGGCATTGTGGAATTTCCATTTGACGTGGTTTGCTGATCGGTTCTGGATGGTCCATAATGCGAAGGAATAGAATAGGAGTGGGAACGTGGCAACTACCGGTTGTGCATCAAGCACAACGCAACAGGGCCACGTAGATGGATTTTGAGTACAGGATGAGAAGGTGAAGTCAGGAGTCGAATAAGCCGAACGTGTGAATGTGTAGGCCTGCTCTATGCAGGAACCAGTTCAGACAAGGACGCCCATGCACAGGGGCGGAAAAAAGCAAACCGAAATAGTCAGGCACCTACGCAAAGGTGCAGAAACCCAGACGCAGATAGGTCAGATTTGGCTGATTATCAGAACTACTGAGAATGGTTGAGTGATGATCAATGGTGAGCAAGAGGAGGATGAGAAGATATGGAATCTGTCCGAAGATGGTAAGGTCTAAAAAGGGAGTAGATAAAATAGACGAGAAATTAGCTATTTGAAATGTGATACATTTACAATGGCGACTAAATATAGGGAAATCTGTCCTGGAGGAAACATTGCAGATTACGAATTCTCTAATAACCTGGTATCCTAAACGCACTGACAGATATTTCAAAAAACTAAGAGTGGCTATTCCGATATCCTCAGGAAGCCTAAATAGAGATAAAATATTAAAGATTCTAAGGCTCTGAACATATATAATATAATATAATATATCAACGATAAAAATTAAGATTCAAAAGCATTCCATGGGCTCGTGACCACATCTAAGAAGTTCATAAGAAAATTAACGGGAGTACGAAGTGTAGACGGATATCAAAACCCGATAAAAAAAATTCTAACTGAAAATGTGAAATTCTATATACAATCAAATATCGTCCCTCATCGTATCATTATTTTGTATCATTGAAGATCTCTAAAATAACGCAAATGTAAGTTACATTTATGATGCACAATAAAATGTATATTCAGCATCAGCAATAATCATACTCAATCTTCAGCCATGCAAGTAATTCGGCTAATTTCAATTATGAAAAAGGAAAGTAAATAAAACAAAGAGGAGAATCAAATGTATTTATTTAGCATGCATAGGGCAAATACAATAGGCAGAGTCTGAAATAAGATAATCTAAAGAAGACAAAGATAAGGAAATATGGACGGAAGAGGATCCAGATCCGGGAATGGTGGCGAGAAAACCTTATTGGGGATATCTCCTGAGACCTTAGTCGAGGTCCTCTGAAAAAGAAAAATCTTAACTGAAGCAATTTGAATCAAACTAAATAATAGGCATTCTAAAAATTAGGTTAATATTTAAAAAAAAAAAAGAATTAGTTCCATCTTAAATGAGTAGATATCAAGACACCTAATATATCCTAACTAAGACGTTTAGTCGCCCTAGGTCACTGAACGTGATTTAAAGACTGAAAATAGAATTTCTTAGTGACAGTGAACTTCACATGTCCTTGTCTCTATGACCTATAATCACCTTTAGTTTTTAGTAAATGAATCCAGAATATTAAGTAGATAGGTTCATAGTGAAAGAAGAAAAGTATAAAATATTGATAGTGATCGCGCCATGAATTGATGTCTACATCTAAAGCGAATACGATAAGAGCTGTATTCAATCTATTCCGTTTAAGATGAAGGACTGATAATTGGATTTTCCCCCAATGATTTAAGTAAACCTTACATCTCCAGTGAATTCCACATAGCTTTGTTTACTAAAATACATTATTACCGGGCATTGATTGAAGTTTCTACCCCGCCTAGGTCTCATCAGCATCCCCAGCGGGACTCGAACTGTGATAGCACAGGTAAAATCTCAACACGTTAACTACTACGTCACACTGTCACGAGTGCCTTTTGGTCACGGGACAAAGGTGAATTTGAGGAAGTCTAGGCCTTTCCCATATCACGATAGGACTATTTAATAAAATGTCCAGTTCGAACAGTCCAAAACAAGAACCGAGTAGCCAGAGCTCTAAAGATATAATGAAAACCGTTGACACGATAAACCCTCTAAGCTACTCTCTATAACATGCATGACTCAATATCCAAAACACGTACCGCGCTAAGCAACTAAAGAATGATTAAGTCATTATGATACATACCCCTGTGATGAATAAAAAGAAGAACAATACAAATCCAATAGGATATGCTTATCTAGTCAATAACAGTAAAATAGTGATAAATTAAATACTAAAAGGTTCCAACAAGTATGTTGGATTTAACTTTGTTGGGAATGAGAATATCCGTTCACCAACCACATTGCCAACTATAGCAAATCGAGTTAGAAATCAAGTTATACATGTGATGTATAGCATAATTATAGATTGTGAAATGGTATTCAAGTCCCCGGCTCGGAGATGTGTGCCAACCCACAAATGTTGTGGTTTAACATAGAACCTATTTAAAGCAAGCAGTATCACATTTGTGGGTTGGAACACAAGAGACTAGGGCATGGAAAGTCATAGACTTGATATTAGAGATAAAATAGGATAAACGCGGCGGCGATGGGAGCTAGTTGGCTGACAGTAGGCTTTGTAAGAGACGTGGTCCATGTGGCAAAGGCGTGACCATGACATTTACTCAGAAACTTTAGCCTCAAATTAGTAACCCAGACGCAGGGGAGGGCAAATAACGCCTCGAGTGATACAGATGGGGTGGCAGGGATAGAGTGTAATATTTAAACCAGGGAGAGGGCAGACGGATCTTACGGGACAAGAAAGAGACTGTGGTAAGACCTAGGGAAGGAGGCCTGCGTAACAATGTGGCAGACTCTGATCAGCATTCCCAGCAAAAGGATGAAGGGGGGTGAGAAGTCCAGCGTGGATTGCGGAGGGTTCTCATAAAAGCCGCTCAAAAGAAACCCTGTACTACATTTAATTAAGCAAGTAAAAAAATGGTGACAGTGAAGGTGTGATAGGAGGATGTAGGAAATGTGAATAGGCAAATGCAGAAAGGGAGATACCATAACTGTTTAGCACACCTTTGTTCAAAGGATGGGCTTCACTTGTCTCTTTGACGAGTTGTAATATGGTGCTACTAATGGCAAAATTCACTGACGATGCCGGAGAAACATATGGGCATGTACCACGTCCACGGTCCGACTTTGGAAATGATTATGCATACAATAGACTCAGGACAAGGTGCGTTCATCTAAGTTTTCCTACCAATATGACCGAGTTGCGAAAACAAGGTCAAATAACTTATATACAACGAAATGAGACAGCGACCACACAAAAGGCCACACCATCTTGGTCTTCATACCTTCAGAGTTCACCTTAAGTCGCTTTCCTTTAAGCAACTAGCCGAACTGTACTTACTAAACGAAGGTATGAAGACTAAGATGGTGTAGCCTTTTGTGTGGTCTCTCTTCGTTGTATAGGCGTTGTTTGATCTTGTTTTGGCAACTTGGTCATATTGGTAGGAACACATAGAGAAACGCATCTAGTCCGGAGTCCATTTTATGCATGATCATTTCCAAGGTCTGACCGTGGACGTGGTACATTCTCAGACCTTTCGTCGGCATCGTCAGTGAGTTTTGCCATTCTTAGGGCCACACTACTCGTCAAAGAGATAAGTGAAGCTGATCCTTTGACCACACGTGTGCTAAACACTTATGGTATCTCCCCTTCTGCCCTGGCCTATTCACATTTCCTATATCCTCCTATCACACCTTCACTGTCACAATTTTTAACGTGCTGTAGTGTGGTGTGCTCCTTTGAGCGGCATTCATGAAAACCCTTCACTAGGTCTTATCACAGTCTCTCTCTTGCCTCGTGAGATCAGTCTGCTCTCTCCGTGGTTCACGTATTTCACTCGACTCTTGCCAACCCATCTGTGCCACTCGAAGCTTTATTCGCCATCCCCTGCGTGTGGGTGACTAATTCGAGGCTAAAGCCTTTGAGTAAGTTTCATGGTCACGCCTTTCCTACATGGACCACGTCTATGACAAAAACAGATCTACTGTCAGCCAACTAGTTCCATTTTCCACCACGTCTGTCCTGTTTCTACCTCTAACACCAAGGCCATGACTTGATTGAACATAATCAAAGTAAGCAGTACCAAAACATTCATGGGTTGGCAACCGAGAGACTAGGGCATAGCAAGTCATAGCCTTGGTATTAGGCATAGAAATAGGATAGACGTGGCGGGGACTGGAGCTAGTTGGCTGACAATAGGCCTGTTTTTAACATAGACGTGGTTAATGTAGCAAAGGCGTGACCATGAGACTTACTCAGAGGCTTTAGCCTTGAATTAGTCACCCACACGGAGGGGATGGCGAATAATGCTTCGAGTAGCATAGATGGGTTGGCAAGAGTCGAGTGAACTACGTGAACCACAGAGAGAGCAGACT